GCCCGCCTCCACTCTGGCCCCTCAAGTCTCTACTGTCATGGCAGCGCTCTGCTGTCTCTCCCTGTCTGCGTAGGGCACTCTGGTTGGCTGCTGAGACAGCCAATCAGAGCACAAATAAAGCATTATGGACATACAGACAGACAGAGACTTAGGCTTTTATAATATTAAAATAATGCAAAGCTTTCTGAGATTAAAAATACCAGATACTACTGTTTCTAGTCTTAGACTCCATATTTAAATCTACTTATGGTTTGTGTTAGTCTATCAAATTGAGAGGCATATGCTATCTTTGATCTTTGTGCAGAACTCCCGTTGAGTTTAATGTGAGTTATGTGTGCAGAAAGAGGATAGAACAAGCCCCTTAGTTAACAAACAGCAAGCAGGCTGCTAGAGGAAAAAATCATATTTCCCTACAATAGTGTAGAAATTTATTGGGGACCCATCAAACACTTCTTCAAATTAAGAGGAGAGCCTGGGAAAGCAGTGAGCCTGATCTCCCCCCTCCCCCACTTGGAGCCTGCCTGCCTGAGCTGCGTGGGGGCCCGGTGCTTCCTCCATGGCTGCAGTGCCCCCACAGGACTGCCTGAATAGTAAGTGTGTATGTTATAAGCATGGTTACCAGTTAAAAAAAGAATACTAAAAAAGTTGGAAAGTATACCTTCCCATAAATCAGAACCCACTAAGTTCTCTCAGTTCTGACACCCAGATTCAATAGCCATTTCTGAAATTGTCTGCCACTAAGTCAATTAACATATTTCTTGGGCTCCTGGCAAATCTGTTGTTATGCCACCCTTCACATTCTGAAACTCCAAAATGCAATTTAATCCTTCTGCCAAGTTAAGGAAAGAGAAATTACACTTTTACTCTGGCAACCTGGAACATCATAAATTTTGGATGGCTTGGTTCAAACTGTGCCTTCCACCCACTTCCAGCTGGAAAATCTATAGGACTTACTGCATCCTGCCTTGTAGCTGAAACCAGGAGGAAGGAGGAATCCTTGCTGAGCAGCTGCTGCTAGAGTTCGTTGGTCTGGAGGGAATACTGGAATCATTAATGGAGGCAGCTGTCCTTGGACCTGCTGAACAAGAGAAGGAAAATCAAACCTGGGAATTCTTCTAGAGAATATACCTTTGTAGGTGTTCATTTGTTCATTTTTACATAGGTCCAACTAGAAGAAACTTTTCAGTGACTAGGTGTACCAGTAGCACCAACTATTCAGCCATATGTTAATCATTATATATTTCTTTTTAATTATTTCTTCTCCCCATAGATCATAATGCCTTACTTTTCCACAATTGCAGACTTATCCACCTTCTCCATACAGCCATAAGATATTCTACATCACACTGCTGCCAAATCACAATTGTGTGTAGTACCTTTCACCCGAATGATTATTCACAACTACTTTCTAATTAAGATGCATACATTAAGGTAGGAATGGCTATTTGTATATGCATACATTTATTATATATGTATGCACATATACATATTGTACAGACACATACATTTACTCCAAGACAGTCTGAACAAAAAACACCCCCCCGATGAAACACTTTGCTCACACATGAAGTGCAGCTATATTAGAAGTGTCAGCTATTTAACTTTGTACATCAACACTACACAACAGCATAAGGCAGGAAATGAAGAATATTATATTGCAAGTGAATATTGCAAGGGACTTAAGGCAGGCACAGATTAGTCATCTCAAACTGGAAATCAGCCATATTATAAGAGCTAGCACTTTCTCTTGCAAAGTTTTGTGAAAGTTTTTGATTATTACAAATGGTCAGGACATCATCTTTACATATGATGCAAAAAAGGAGCGAATCATTTGTTAGCTTAAGCCATCTAAATGGTTGGTCTTTCCAAAAAGTGTACCAAGAAGCAAAAAACTTGACACGGGAGATAACCCAATAGAGGAAGAGACACTTCCAGGAGAGGTCATCAAGGTTTACCACTGCATTGTAGAGCAGAGGTGTGTGCGAGTGAAAGAGATTATTCTAAATTATCAGGGATGTAGTTGTCATGGGCGATTTTAATTACCCAGACA